ATCTGATATGCCATTACGAGAAAGATTAAGGGTCAAAAGTTTCAAATCCTTAAGTCCGTCACAAATACGGTCCAGTACATTTTTATCAGCACAGGTAATGTTGTTCGATTCCAGGTTTAATACCTCCAGTTTGCAGTCGGGCTGACTTGTTAGTGCTTTCACAAGCTTGTCAAGTCCTTTGCCGGTAATACGGTTTCCGATTAGATATAACTTCTTTAGTTGGCATCTACTGTCTTCGATTATCGCACAAAGCAAGAGAAGACCATTGTCTGTGATTTTATTGTTTCTGAGGCCCAATACTTCAAGCTTAGAAAGCACGATTGCGTTGAATAACCGATGCAGTGCGAAGGGGTTCGGTTTAGGGTCGGGGTTAGGGTTGAGGTCAAAGGTAGGACTGGATGTAGGAGTATATGTATTGGTTAGGGTAGGGGTAGAGTGGACCTCTTCGTCAGGGTTACAACAAGCTTGAATAGTTGGAACTAAAGGGATAGTTCTAGGAATAGCTCTAGGGCTATAGTCTCCTTCAATCGAGACTTCATGAAACTCAACATCGAGGTTTACGTATAGCTCAGACAGTCGACAACTACTATCCTGGAGGGTTTGACAAATGTGTTCAGAACTATTTTTACTCAATTCTATACCATACAGATCCAAGATTTGTACATTACACTTGTCATCTTTGAGAGCTGAGCATAATTCTTGTATTCCACTTTCTGTAATATCAGGGTTGTCACCCATTATCAAACAGGTTAGTGTGGAATTCTCCTTGCGAGTTGCTTTCATCAGGTCTTCCAAGCCTTTATCTGTAATTTTACAACTTGAGATGTTAAGTGTTTTGGGACTTTTTTCCTCGATCACCCGGATCAGTTCTGCCAGTCCACTGTCACGAACTGTGGAGTTAGAACTCAAATTGAGTAATTCCAATGGTGTTGGAAGTCGACGTAAGAAATAGGCCATTACTTTGCAATCAACAGGTGAAACCTTCAGGTTTGAGAAATTTATCTGTTGCACCGAATGCCCTG